CTTCCGGTAAAACTGGCAGAAGCCAGCGTGTCGATCGCGGTCGTGCCGCCAAGAGCGACGAGCCAACCAGTAGCCATTGCGAACATATACGAGAAGGCAGCGGTTGCCAATGCTTCTGGCGAGAGGCGTCCGACGATGAGGACGGATACTGTTTGCAGTGAATTTTGCAACGCGTATGCTACGACCACAGGCAGTGATCCTTTGAACAGTACCCAGAATTCGTGGAGGATAAGTTGGGACTTTGATGCAGTGTCATCCTCGAGTTCGTGGGTTTCGCCAGTAGACCATTCCTCATGCTGCGAGTCTGGGAGAAGAGACGTTCGCTCATCAGGCGTGGCGTCATCTTGAGTCGTCTTCTTGAGGAAGTTTGGCAGCCATGACCGGTACTTATTCGCTTCGTAGCCCATGACGAGAGAGGTAGATGAAGAAAAACGAAGAGCGTGTGGAATGTGACGAGAGTCTCCCAACAACGAGGTCTGATATGTAAGACAAAGCTCTTCCACTCCAGCCCCGATACCCACAAGATGAACAAGGCAAAAAGCTCGCAAACCTTACATCACGCATTCTCTGCACATCCCGAATCCCCAGATAGACCCGGCATGACAGCACCTCTGACAATACAACACCCTCCCAAACCGGTGTAACCACGGGCGTATCTACCCTACCATGAGCAGCAAGACCTGCAGCCGCCAACAAACAAAGCAGCATGCATGCCGCCTCTAGCCTCAATCGCCGTGTGCAATGATCGGGGCGTATCTTCGAGCAAGGACAGTGCGCAGCTGTAGCCTTATCGACTTGCATCTGCGCGGTTATTTGACTAAGGCACTTCGGTAAAACGTTTTACGTGAGGCGAGGACGTACTGGACGCGTTCGGATAAGTGTAGGAGAGTGGAGCTGGGAACAACGTTGATGCTATTGTCTGGGCGCGACCTCGCGTCGCTCGTGCACAAGTGCCGGCCACGCCGGAGCTTCCCCGCAACATTGCGTGCTCGACAGCGAGGGCGCAAGAGAACGCGAATGCGTGCAGGGTGTCAATGAAGTTAAGTGTATGGCTTTTCTCCTGTGAGATTTCGTGCGATGCCCGGAAGAGCCCGGTCGAGGTTTCACTGGGAGCTTAGCGAGTGTGCCGTTCATGTGGTGCAGGTCAAACTTTACTGGATTTGGCCCGTGTCCATGTAGCCGGCACATCCACCAACAACGAGATCAGGAAAGTTCATGAATAGTATCATTCGGAGATCGATGTTGATGTGTCGTTAAATTCGTAATTACCATTAAACAAAATGACTGTCTTTTCCGACGAAGATGACCACAAGTCTTTTCCGACGAAGATGACCACAAGCCCGCGAAATCCAGCGCCGAACAACCGAGAAAATGAAAACAGAAGGGGGTATAAAACATTACTAGAATCAGGAACGCATGCCAGTCATCCTAAGCTTCTCCAGCCAGCGCAGCGGCGACAAGGATGTCAATGCCACTCGCATGTGTGCTCGGGTTGCCACTGTCACTAGGCCCCTGCCACCGGTCTATAATGACACCTCCGTCAACCCTAGGCTGACTTCTCGCCGCATTCGCATTGCGCATGAAGAATTGTTGTACACCTTCTTGTGGTGCGTTCTCATACAGCGTTGATAGACCGCGAACGTATGCGCCTTTGAACTGCGAGGCGACGGGGTCGAGAGGATAATCAGCAGGCTCGGTGAGGATACCGCTGCCGTCACTGAGTTTAGAAGTCGACGCCGTAGCGAGCTTGTAGGCCTTTTCGATGTAATCGCCGTTGTTTGTTGCGCGAGCTAATTCCGAGAGACCAGCTAGGACGATGCCTTGGTTGTAAGTGAAGGTTGTTCTGCCGTTGTTCTTGCAGCTCGATGGATCGATGCCGTCGTTTACTAAGCTGTCGGAGTTGATTATACCGGACTTCTCGAACCAGTCCCACTCCATCTCAGCCCAGTTGGTGTAGTCCTCTTTCATCTGGCCCTCAGCCCGGTTTGCCAGATGGGCAGCAACGGATAAGAAGAGTTCGTTTGAGATGGCAGCAATGTAGTCGCGGTCTTTGGACCACCATAGGCCGCCGCCACACCGATTGCCGTCCCAGCCTGTAGTCATGTCGGCGAAGATGTCTCTGGCTGTGTCGAGGTACTTCATGTCTCCAGTGAGATCGTATGAGGCTATCCAGCCCATGGCCCACCACCCCTCGTCATCGTAGAACTTGTTCTTCCACCCATCTGCCCCGTGCTGTTGGGACGATTTGGCGTATGTGGTGGAGACGATGTTAATGGCGTGCTCCTTGAAGTCGGCATCCTGAATACCGAAGCGCGCGACGGTCTCGATAATGTTGCCAGACTGCCACCATAAGTCATTCCTGGTAGAGATTAGATTTGGCCATTGTGAGAGTGGACTGCGACGTACCATAAACCAGTATCAGAGTTGTACCATTTTTCTTGTAGGGTTTTTATCGCCGAGAATGCGTCGTCGGCAAAGTCTGCGTATGTAGGAGTACAGTAGAGGAGAGGTATCAACAGCGCTGTGAGGTTCTTCATGGTGGATTAAGCAATAGTGACAATAGGGATTACTGAAGTGCTTCGAGCGCAATGAGAGGATGCTGGCTTGATAAGGAAGTGACAACTAACGGAGGCGAACCGCTCTGTGTTTTATGTTTTCTCCAGACGCTGTGACATTGACCGAAGCGACCTCGACTTCGAAAGTTCAGGCAGATGTATCAAGGAACCGGACTGTAGGCTGGCGTGTGAGTTCGATCCTAGTCACGGCAGTGCAGATAACGCCGAGAACTCCAAGAGGATACTGTACACAAGCAAACCTGTTCGACATATCGAATGTACCTATGGCATTCTCTGCCGCATAAAGTCATCCCTGCCATTCCTGTGCTTGAGCTATTGTTAGAGCCTGTGGCACAGCTAGCCAGGCGGCCTTGCGGATTGTCAGGCATGGAGACTCATGCGGGCGAGAGCCGTCGACGAGTCAATGACTGTGATAGAGGGCATGTCCATACACCAAACGGTGAGGTTTGGTACTGTGCAGCGGTAAGTAAAATTAGGTTTGTCGGAGCCTGATCGACGCGGACCCTATCATGAAGCGACTACTGTCTAGGAAAGCGCTAGAGCGGATCCGATCTGAAACACGGGGAACAGACGCTGGGTATACCTATTGGTAAGGCAGATATGGGAGATTGAAGGTTGATTGGTTGTATATCTGAAATATCGCCTGTTTGGTTAGGTCGCTTGTGGCACAGGGGCCCTTTCGTGGCTTGTGAAGCGTTGTCCAGCCTTGCCGACCCTGGGAGTTCGCTCAGGAGCATCGCGTGTAACGGCGAGCCCTTCCTGAGGATATCGCGCGACGCCGACGGCACAGTTGGGAGACGACTCCAAGTCGCGCGGTAAGACTCGAATGCATGCGACCCGTATAAGACAATGGTCGAACGTTGTTGTTGGCTATTGCATGTGGCTGTCAGGCCTCCAAGGCAGCTTTCATCGAGCATCCGACGGTCGTACTTCCGACTGCTGACCATGCTGGCATCATGCTGGCGATCGCCTTCATAGGGCGATGTTGGTATCAGCTATAGGAGTACACTATAGCCGGCGTTATCTGAGTTGTGCGCGGGCTCGGCCCAAGGGTGACTGCGGCCGGCCAGGTGAGACCGCAGACCTCGCCGTGCAGACAAGGGCCAGTTCTCCGATAGTGATTCGAGGCCGTAGCTGCGGCCGGAAATAGGTCAACTCTTCTCCCGCTTCTTGTTGCTGACTTGCAGTTGTTGTGGTACCAATGGACGCGATGTTGGCAGGACTCAGCCTCGCCACGGATGCTGTGAGATCAGCCAAGGTTCACAGCAGACAGCGCAGAGCGCAGAGCGCAGCAACGGATAACGGCCCGCTTCTTCTATGTAAGTACATGATCGGAGTTGTGCGCAGGATGTGCACAGCTTCCAATCGCCCAAGCGAAGGCTCGTCACATTGACGACGTTGACGAGATGAAAAGTGGATAGGCTGCGACAGATGTCAAACAAGTTTTCGCTCAGCGGCAAAAGGCCAGAATTAGCAACGCCGTCCACTGTACGCGCTGTACGCGTGAAGTCGATTGCCGCCGTTCAGCCGAACTGCAGAAGTTGGACGTGTCGAAGTCTGTAGGATGTTTGCACGCGCAGCGCGTGGTGTGGTGAGGGATGGATTGGGGTTAGTGTGCAATGGTGATGATGCTGGTCACGTGCTGCGCGACTTCCTCGTGCCTCTGAGCTACGTCAGCGGGGTACTGCCCCACTAAACCCTCGCCCTGTTCGCGTACCCGATGTTGGCAAACAGCGGCTCCTACTCCGGAGCATGGCTGTGAGCTAGAAGTAGGGCGAGGATATAGTCTACCGTTACCAAGAAAGAACTGATGCTAATCCAGCGCTACCAACTATGTCTCTGCTACGCTACCAACTATCCAGTTCAGAAAGCAATTATGGGAGAGGGGCAGCCGCGGCAGCACCTGCCCCTCTATCCAAGTTGTACAGCGTATCTCACTCGTAGCGGGGCAGTGTTCGTCCCGCGGCAGAGATCTGGAACCCGTACCCACCCTAAGCCGTGCCCAGATGACGCGAATGCCATGCAAAGGCGCCAGATTACCATCAATCACATATAGCGGAAGTGCTGATCTACCTATCGTGGCGGGCTGTGGCGTCTGCAAACTGGTATACACCCTGGCAGGAACCCCTGTAGACCCTGCCAACCGCACATGTGAAGGAGCAAGTAACAGGGCCCACTGAGTACACGGTAGGACTGCTGCTGCCCTCTCTCACCCACACCCTTTGCGGCTACGGTGCCTGCCTCGCGAGGGATGACGTACGGTTTTCGTAGCACGTCACTGCAGCCTGGACGATGCTGAAGGGTAGTATATAAGACTGCTTCTGCTTCCCTTTGCTCGAACCTTCATCACACTCAACTCCAATCAACTCAACTACAACTACCACTTTCAACCCTCAACCAACCAACCAACCACCAACTACCAAAATGTCTGACAACCTCCGCAAGGGTCTCGGCGAGCAAGCCTCCGAGAAGAGTAAGCTTACTGTCTTACCCAACTTCTGGCATCATCTAACAGTCTCTCAGTGACCCCCGACTCCCAGAAGTCCACCACCGAGAAGGCCAGCGAGAGCCTCACTGGAGCCGGTGACCGCGTTGCCGGTATGGTCCAGCCTGGTACGTCTCTTCCACTACTCACCACTTACCACCGTGCTATCAACTAACATACACACCAGAGGGCCAGAAGTCCACCGGACAGAAGCTCGGTGACGCCACTCGCTCAGGCGGCGACGACGCCTCCGCCCAGGGCCAGGGTGTCATGAAGCAAGCTCAGGACGCTCTCGGCAACGCTGGCCAGAGCATCTCCGACACCCTCTCCGGCGCCACTGGCCAGAAGAAGTAAAGCACTCGCTTCCTTCTTCCTGTTGCCTGGTAGCCACGATACACACCCCTCCTCTTACGACCATGAAGACCTGAGAATGGACGAACATGATACTGCGATGGATGGAACATACCCTTTCGGCGTGAAAGCCGCATATCTATATACCCTACCATGAATGAAATAACAATGATCAACAACCTATCTTCTGCCGTGACTTGCCTGTCGTTATTTCTAACAATCGGACTTGACATGGACTGTGGGTAGTTGACTGCTCATGCCTTCGCAAACCATGAGTTGAGACTTAGCTCAGTCTTCTACCAGCAACACTTACCTTGTGGTGCATGACTGAGAGCAGAACGTGAATCCAAGTGAAGACGAAACTTGTGAAGACAGAACTCATCCATGTTATTATTGGAACTCAAATCATGTCCTACAAATCTTCATCTTCCACCTCCTCCATCTGCACATGCCTGAGTGTATTCTCCGCCGTCTTGGCCTCGTCGGATATACCCTCCATCTGCCCCTTGGCCTCAGCAGCCATCATCTTGTACTCTGCTTCCTGGACCGCAGCCTCAGCAACTTGCTCTGCCATATCACCCGCCGACGTGTTCTGTAGCCTCAAGAAAGCATCCAGCTCTTCATCCTCAGCTGTTCGTGGAACCTTCTCAGCACCTTCTTCCGTGTCATCCTTCTTCTTCCCCTCATTCATATACCCTCCTTCCCGCAACTTGTCAAACTCGTCGGGTTCGAGTAACCGGCCCTCGCCCTTTGCCAGCTTGACCTTCTGCGCCACAGACGCAGGCATGAATCTTGTTGCTTCCTTGCGCAGATCGCGGACCTGGGGTGCAGCTTCGTAGACGATGGTGGGTTTCTTGGGTTCGGCGGGCGCGGCGGCTTCGTCTTGCGGGTCTTGGGGTAAGTATTTCCGTGGTATGGGCGGCGGTGTGTCGCGCGGCATGGGGATGCGCTTCACGTCGTCGTCCGTGTCGCTGCTGTCGTCGTCTTTGCGCTGTCCGTCGCGCGATCGCTTGCCTAGAATGCCGCCGCCTCTGCCCCCTCGGTCGCCTCCCCGCCCTCTGTCCTCGTTGTTGTATTGCCGCTCTGGCTTGAAGACGGGCGCTTTGTCGCCGAGTGCTGCGCGCGCCTTGTTGACGGCGGCGAGATCCTTCTCCAGCTCCTGTAACCGTTGTCGCTCATGTGGCCGTATTGCGCCGCTCTGATCGAGTTCTTTGAGGTTGTCAATGTCGCGTTGTATGCGATTGGGGTTTCGGCGCGCGAGTTTCTCGTTGCGCTGCGTCTGGAGGTTGGCTTTTTGCTTGCGGATCTGCTTCTGCTTCTCGGCCTTTTTGGCTTCTTGCACGGGGTTGTAGTTCTTCTCTTTGGCCATCTTGGCGGTCGAAGGCGGAATCGGGTATGAAGGAGGTTTGTGAGGTCGTTGGCCGAGACAGCGCTGTATGGAAATTGAGATTCTGGGGACTGACGTAGGTCCGTGCTTGAGCCGCGGCGCGTCGCGAATGTGGTCTGCGATGGCTCTCGAACTTCCTTGGCGACATCAATTGCTGCCAACTCTCCCCGCCACGAGAGCAGGTTACTAGCATCATGTTCATTCCCAGAGCGCTCAGGCTCAAGGGCGTCCGCGAGAAGCCGCGGCCCAAGCCTGCCCAAGCGCCCCCTGAAGCGCTTGCTGAAGGCGACCAAGACGATGCGCTGGTCGAGGCGATGCAGAAGACAAGAACCAGCTCACCTACTGACCAGCCAGAACAGACTGACCTCAAAGCCACCAAGCCTGGCCCCAGATTTACCACCAAGCCTGTCACGCCAGAGTACATTGGTCAGCTTGCTGCTGGCATCGAGCTGATCTTCACCGACTATGCCCACCAGGAGGAACAACGCGCCAAGTGGCTGCAGGACCGTTACAGAACCGTCGATGGCGAGGAGAATTGTATACACACCCAAGTCTATGTTGTCCCCCATAACTGACTTGCTACACAGACATCCACCTTACCGCCATACTTGAACACCCCAATATCTCCTCCCTGAAGCCTGAAGCCTCTCAGATCCTCCTTCAGCAAGCACTCCGCGACCACCCCTCTAAGATGCTAGAGCTCTCGAGCAATGGCTACCATGTCCGCCGCAAGCCTTCTTCGTACCCTCCCAAATACCTACCCCACAACTCCTTCGAAGTCACTGATGACGACGGCCTAGCATTCTGGGACCAGCGCACAATCTACGTCGAGCCACATCTACGCAACATCTGTCCTACGCCAGCAAAGGTCGCATACTGGCTTGCGGAGCATGGCGAGCTGAGGTCCAAGTGGCTTCCCATACAAGCAGTTCATACACTGTGGAACAGCTGCGCTTTCGTTGTCCTCAGCGGGAGCGTAATGCACGAAGATGTTTGGCAAAAGTGGAGAGAAGCAGACAAGCCCGAGAATTGGAAGATAATGACCAAGGTTGAGCATACCAAACGGACCGCTGAATACGTTGCGTTGCTCAAGGCAGAGAACCCTAGAGGAATGCGCAAGAATAAAGTCGACGAGAGCGAGCTGCCTCCAATCGCACGACCAGCAGTGCTTCCGATGGCGTATACAACCAAAGCTCCTGGTGAAAAGATCGTTCAGGTTCCTCCGCGAAAGCCAGGAGAAGTAGCGATGGAGATCACTGTGGCTGCAGAAGAACCACCAGTCAAGCATAAGCGGAAGAGACGAAAGCCAAAGAAGGCTGGCAAACCCGCTGGTAGAGACGACGCCGATGGAGATGATGCTGAGGGTGCCTATGATGAGCCGAGTGCAAAACGCAGAGGTTGAAAAACCACGTTCCTCCGAGGACCTCGCCACGCTCATGGCGCGAGGATTCGCAAATCGCGAGCAAGGCTTGAAGGCCTCTACCAGCGATTTGATAAGTCAAGACCGAATAGCCTCACGATGGCCAGTAGCACGGCTGCTGTTGATTACCCCGACTTACCCCGCTTACTCGCTAGTACTGACATACCAGGCTTGCCGAAGCCACAGATGGATCGACAGCCAATCCAGACTTGATCGAGGGAGCCGAGGAAACGCGTCGCTATGAAACGGCGATCGTGCGGCTACTCTAGCTATATTATATATAACCGAATACACGAGAACGACGTCTTGTGGTACCATTGACCGCAGTGGCCATTTCTGCTTCGTTCGTCGGGCTTTATTAGTTGAATTCGCATACATTGTGTTTGCATAGGAAGGAACCTCGCAGTAATATGGCTACCGTTGTAGAGAAGACGGCTGATGGAATCATCTATCGTTCCGAGAAAAGCTACCCGATACCTGACCTCGATGTACTAACGCTTCTATTCGGTACGCCCACCCCTGCGAAAGCACCTAACACCACCCCAACAACCTCCTCAACTAACAACACGTCTCCTTGTAGACTCCGAACACAGCCTAGCCAAACCAGACACTCCCCTTCACGTCTCAGCCGCAGACCCAAGTCTAATCCTAACCACATCGCGCGCCCGCCACCTAACCCAAGCCACCTCAGCCGCCCTCCGCAAGCACTTTGGTATCGGCGCCTATGGCCCAGGAAGAGATGTGTGCTCCGTTATCTCAACAGGCCACTACCTCCTCCCTGTTCTCGCGTATGGAATTATCGGAGCAGGCGGTATCTTCTCCGCTGCCTCCGCAGCAAGCACAGCCAGCGAACTAGCCAAGCAACTACAAGGTGCCAGCTCGAAGATTCTCGTGACTTGTCAAGCTACCCTGGAGACTACGATTAGAGCTGCAGAGGACGCTGGGTGGGGTCAGGGTGGAGGTGGGCGTGTACTGCTTATGAGTGAGGGGAGGGAATGGACGTTGAAGGTTGTTGGGGAAGATGCGAGGCCGGGGAAGGACATCATTGATGAAGGAGATTTACTGCCGTGGACGCGGATCACGAATAGGAAAGAGCTGGACGAGAGTCTGATAGTACTGATTTATAGCTCCGGGACGACTGGGCTACCCAAGGGCGTAAAGCTTTCACACCGGAATATGGTGAGCCAGACGGTTAGTACGGGGGATATGATGAAAGCGTGGGTGAAAGAGAAGCGTCCGGGTTTTGAATACCGCACAATCGCCCGTAAGTTATATCTTCCTTATCCGGATTGCAAATTGACATAGATGTTTGCTGACATCCCATCCTATCCCCCACCAGACCTCCCCACCGCCCACATAGCCGGCGTACAAGGCTACCTGATAAACCCCTTCTACCTCGGCGGCACCGTATACTGGATGCCGCGCTTCGACTTCCCCTCCTTCCTCTCCTACAACGCCCTCTACCGCATAACCTTCTTCTTCACCGTTCCCCCCATCCTTCTCCTAATCGCCAAATCCCCATCAGCAACCACGCAATTCGCCTCCCTAGAATTCTGCGTCTCGGGTGCCGCGCCACTAGGAAAAGATCTCCAACACGCGGCAAGCCAGAAACTGGGTGGTGAAGAGTGTTTTGTGGATCAGACCTGGGGCTTGAGTGAGACGACGGGGAGTGCGACGATTATGACGCCTGGGAAAAGGGATGATACGGGGAGTGTGGCTATGTTGTTGCCGAATATGAGGGCTAGACTTGTTGATGATGAGGGAGGAGATGTGGAACAGGGGATGGCTGGGGAGGTGCTGGTGAAAGGGCCGGTGGTGTGTAAGGGGTATTATCAGAATGAAGAGGCGGATAGAGAGGCTTTCACCCACGATGGCTGGTTCCATACGGGTGATATCGCGGAGTTTAGGAATGGGATGTTCTACATAGTGGATAGGAAAAAGGTTGGTCCTGACTGTACGAACTGCATGGGAGACACACGCTGACTTTGTAGGAACTCATCAAGTACAAGGGCTTACAGGTCGCGCCTGCGGAGTTGGAAGCCGTGCTGCTCAGTCATCCGCTGGTCCTAGATGCTGCAGTCATTGGTGTTTTGACGGATGATGGGACGAATGAGGTGCCGAGAGCATACGTTGTCGCTGATAAGAGTAAGATCTCGTCTGAAGACGTCATTGAATTTGTCAAGGGGAAGGTTGCTGGACACAAACAGTTGAGGGGAGGTGTAAGTAGTCTCCACGCTCGAACTGTATGTGAGACAAATACTGACTTCGTTTACCCGTTTTTAGGTGATATTCTTGGATGAGATTCCCAAGAGCCCAGCAGGCAAGATTCTTCGGAAAGATTTGAGAGCTTTGGCGGAAAGGGAGAAGGGTGCGAAGCTGTAAGAAAGGAATCTCTTTGACCAGATCGAGCCGATACCAAGCCCAAGCCTCAGTCAATAGCGCACTTCATTTTTTGCTGTAAGACAGGGTTGAAGAATACATCGTAGTTTTGGGGGTACAGTACCCAGGTGGTACTGCGGAATAGCGAATACCTCCCGAAGCCATCGCTGACTTCATGAAGTGCAAAAACTTCCCCTTCGATCACCGAATCTCACTCAAGCTTTGAAATTGAATTGTTTTCGACGCTCGCCTTATCACTGCCGTGCGATGCAGGTGTGCCCCGCGGGCAAAGAAACCTTGGAAAGACACGTTCCAAGGTTGCGGGAAGCCCGTCCCCGGCATTCCGAGGACCCTTGTTTACCGACAGCTTCGGGTTGATCACCCACACGTTCGGCGATCAGCTTCTCTTAAGACTTCCTGCTTCGATCCTGCTCATCGCGCTTCAAATACCCATCATAGCGCTGATCGGCTATACTATAGGCGTGGTTGCTACAGGTGTAACAGCTGCTCTTGTACCATGCACCTCTCCAGCCAACCAAACGCCTGCCTTCCGTTACGCGGACGATGCTCCGCGCCTATCAACACAGACTGGCCGTGTGTATCCACTTTCAGAAAGGGATGCCTCATAGCGTACTTCGACTGGTCCGGCACAGGTTACCAGCTGCCTTAACGAGGCATACACGTGGGATTAGTAGGACTGACCGTGGTACCGCCGCGTATGACATCACTAGAAGGAAACACCGTGTACCTTTGTCTCATCCCACCAGCCTAGGCTCACCACGTCTCGCTCCACCGATCAGAACGATGGCTCGCATAGCGGTATTTGCTCATAATGATTTCATTAGCTCATAATTAATATTCTGTTCTAGCAACAAAACCAAAGGATCCAGGATATCCTCCCAACCCTCCAGAACGAGGCAGATCAAATCGACCAGATTGCAAAGATAAGAGGATGGTTCCGTCCAAAAGAAGACAGCGCGTACTACCCATTGATTCAAGACTACCTCAGCGAGAAGATCGACGTGAAAGAAGCGACGGCGCGCATCCTCGGACCGATTGATGAAAAGATCAAAGAGGCCAAACTCGACGATGTCGACTTCATGGACCTATGGACCAGCATCATTCACTCAGCAAGACGATCAACATTCCGCGACGGCGCCCGAACACAGCACCACCAACTCATCGAGTTACTCGACGCATTCAAGAAGCACTCAATACTGGACCACACGGAGTATGACTACCTCTACAAGGAAATGACCGACTTTGGCATGGCCTGCCGTGAGGCCTTCAACGACGCGCCAGCCGCTCACGAAGGCTTCATCGAGACGGAGGTGCAAGCTTGGACGAACATGAACTACTTCTTCGCCTTTGTAGCAAGGGAACATATCCACGATCTCTCCATGTATGCCATCTTCGCGCTACGGGAAGCTCTCGAGACACCTCCCATCGACGAACCCATGTCGACGGCCAACCAAAAGTACGACGCAAACGTTCCCGCAGCTGCAGCTTGGATAATAGCCTACGGCCACGACCTCTTCCGCATGGAAAAAGATCTCACGCCCACCGATAAAAAGCAAGGCAACCCAGGACGCGGCGGCGAACTCTGGAAGGGCAAAAGCGAGTTCAGCAAAGAAAGATGGGCGCTCTGGAAAGAACGGTTCGCGGCGATCGCGGAGATGGAGGGTGTCAGAGAAGAAACGAGGCTCGATGCCAAGGATGCGATAGAAGGCATGGAGAGGAGCCAGACGTATGAGCTCATGAGGTAACTTCCTACAAGTCTGACGTGCTGATGCGCGTTTGCCAGATTCATGTTTGCGGAGGAAGTAGCGCGGAATGGAGATCTGCAGCGGCTTGGAGGAGGGTTTCCACAATCGTTTGACCGGGGGCCTAAGCGTCAGAAGAGAGAGGATAGTGGGAATGGATGCTGAGCACGCATGTGTCGTTATCACAGTATGAGGCGGGGTCAGGCATAGGCGATGACTTCATGGTCACAGTATCTTCGCTAGCGACCTAAACATCGAATGCATTCCTCCACGGCTACCCCTTGGGCCTATGCCTTGGTAGTCGCCCCCAAAGCCTCCACTCCCGCATTCGCAACACTCAAATCCTGCTCCACGCTCCCTCCACTAACACCCACACCCCCAATCAATTTTCCCTCAAGGTAAATCGGTATCCCGCCCCCGAAAGCAATCAACCCACCATTCGTATTCTGCACATCATAAAGCGGCGCACCCGGCTGCACTGCCGCATACAAATCCGCACTAGCATACAACCCATTGAACAGCACAGCCGTCCTAGCCTTCTTCTGCGAAATATCGATGGACCCGATGAATGCGTTGTCCATGCGGTGGAAAGCGACGAGAAGGCCAGAGGGATCTACGATGGCGATGTTTTCGGGGATCTGGAGGGATGTGGCGTTGGTGATGGCGGCGTCGATGACGGTTTGTGCTTGCGAGGCTGAGATGACGTAGCGTTGGGAGGGCGTGGTGCCCATGCCGTTTGTGGTGTTCATTGTTGCGGCGGCGGAGGTGATGGTGAGGAGGCTGAGGGTTGTGCTCAGGAGGGTGGAGAGGAAGCGCATTTTAGTTGTGTGTAAGGGGTGTTAAGACAGGCTTTGTCGATAGTGATGTTTATTTTTTCGATCGTCCCTGATGGAGGTTTTGGAGATGTGGGTAGGTGGGTAGGACGCGTGTAGAAATGGTCGACTAATAGGTAAATTTGAGATTCGTGTTGTAATATCTTCTTGTCTGCCGTCCCGTTCATTCATTACATACTCGGCTTATATAGGTACCCGATTTGGCCATCCCCTCCGACCTAGAACATGTCTAATGTCTTCTCCACTCCTGCATCTTCCTCTGCAGGTACGAGCCGAACCTCGGTCGTAGATCAGGCCTTCCATTCAGGTTCGAGGAAATTTCTTCAGCCGCAGCTCAGCTTTGTACAAAAGTATCGATTGCTGACAATGGCGCATTCTAGCTGCCAGAATGGCGGCGGTCTAGTCCACCGGAGGCAAAAGATTTCAGGGTGTAGTGTGCGGGGGCATGAACTCAAGTCGTGGGTCGTTTCCGCTTGTTAGACCTGTTTGGGCTTGGTGGGTGAAGATGGCGGCCGGCCCGGGCGGTTTAGTGTCGGATGGCAGGGACCGATCCGATGCTCTTCTCCCTCACTGTGGTTGCGCGGCTGCGAAGACTTGACTCGCATTATGCAGCGTGGGTCTTTATAGTAATAGTGAATGATAGTGGCGTGAGATGGGCGGGCGACGTATTTGAGTTCTTCCATGACAGTTGTGGAACGTCCCGGGAATAAGAATAAGACCTTCAAAATTTGATGCACCAAAGTAGTGCACCTCTCGCTGTGACGGACATGTCGAAAGGATTACTCCTCGTACGAGCAGTGCACGTCGGTGACATGTCGTGCTAGTCGCTCATCTGGCGTCTCTCCCGCTGGCATGTGCTCGATACGTACGCGACATAGCCGGCATTCTGGTCTCTTTTTGCGTTTCTCTTCCATGAACTCAATCCACGCATGTCGGATCTCATCATCTATTCTCTCTCTCGCCTCTTCATCATCAATCAGTGATAACAGTACGCCAATCTTCTCTTTCATGTTCTCAAACTCTGCGGCCTCTTTCGGTCCAGTCTTGACCCATTCGCTGCATATCTGGTTCTGCACAGGGGCGACTTTGAAGCGCTTGAGATCGCCCGTCATAATGGTAGCGAAATGAGTTGCAAGTTCCGAGGCATAGCGCACGAGGTGGGATTGTAGCTGTTCTCCCGTCTCCCAGAAGAGATTGTGGCTGACCCACAGATCCATGTGCTTAATGCGGTACATGAATTGCGCAGCGGTTGCTAAAGAGAAACTACACGATGTTGATGTCTCGGTACAGAATATCATGTGGGACCAGTATGGTGGGAGCAGGAGGGTCTGTCCTGGCTTCTGAATGATTGCAATGCCATGTTGCATTTCCGAAAGAACATCCAGGGGAACGTGTGAGGTGTTGCTATCATGCATACCTTCGTACGCTTTGCGGAGCAGGTCTAGATTGGCTTGCAGTGGAGGGAAAGTGAACCATACTTTCGAGCCGGTCAACAGTGTCGTAGAAAAGTGGTGTTCGTAGTACTCCAACTCGAATACCTCGCCTGCTGGAGCAACAGTCATCTGGAACTCTGACTGACCTAGGATACCTTCTCCTTCCCATCCTGGTATCCAGCGCTTCTTCTGGATGAAGATAGGCGACTGCATATGGACAACCGCACCAGGCTCAGAATATCTAGGATTACCGATATTGTCCAGCAAGTGCATGACTGCATTTGCGTCGGCTTCTGGGGATCCACGCGAAGGTGCGAAACGGAAGTGATTCTCACCTCCAATGTCGCTTTTAATCGCTTTTTCGACTGCCGCAGGGCTGGGTAGCGATGTGAAAGTGAACGGCAACTCTCCGTTAAGGTTCGGCGTGTCCCACTGCGATGGACCAAATATACCATCTCTTTCCTTGCGCAAGTGTCTTAGCTCGTCCTCGTTCAATGGATGGATACGGCCGCCTTGAGCCGTGTCGAAGGCGAAGGCCGCTCGGTGATCAGATTGATGACGTTCAAGCTCGGCCATGACATCTACCAGATCTTGGTCGTGTAGAGTAGAGGTAGATATGGCTACATTTGCTCGTGCAGACCGTGGCGTCGGTGCAGTGACGAGACGATGCGTTGTCGGGTCAAACGTTGTATCGCCATGCTCTCGTAACTGCATACCGGAACCGGCGGACGCAACCGAAACTTTGTGTGATGAAGGATCCATAACAAGTGACATCGGAAATGATTTTTTTGTTGCTGGTCTTGATGAAGTCTTATATGTATTCGGTGATTGGAACAATATTGAGCTGTAAATTCATGAGTATTCTAGGCCTTACAGGACAAACGGAGAGAGCACACGGTGGAACTAGCACCGAACGTTCTTCACAAGCTGTTTCACTCATTTCTCTTCTAAATTTGCGGTGTGATAGCTAGAATGTCGCTGGCTGCTTCGATGGTCTCTCGATGGTCTTACCGCCCACAGTAATGCGGTCTGACGAATCCGGCAGTGGCAAACCTTCTCGAGCTGTTTTGACAGTGGCCCTTGCTGTATACATTAGCTTGATCATCTAGATCACATCAGCCGGGCATGAAAGCATGCGAGTGCCTTCCGAATGTACCAAGATAACAAAAATGACGTAGAAATCATGGCGTGTGGGTGGGGCGGATAGAGTGAAGGATGGATTAGGCATCCACACAAACGCCGTGAACGATGTTGTCATAGGCTCTTCTAATATCGCGCTGAAGGTGTATCACTAGGTTCTTTGTCGAGACCTAGGGTCATGATCTAGGGGATCTTCAGCCCGCGCTGGTTGAGGTGGAAGGACCGCAGTAGCCTGAGCATCTTCATGAGATCCAGCGCTAGAAAGAGACCCGGGTAATGCATCTGCGCAACTATGAGACGATATCGGACTATTCAGTAAACAAGTTCGCCGATGAAGAAAGAAAATACATTCGCTTGTGGTGAGTGATTGCTGTGAAGGCGGCCGTGCGACAAGAGAGGCGGATTGGCAGCTCTCGTACGAATGCGTAAAAGTGATTGACAGATGCCTAGAGTCCACAAGTACCACTGTACACTTTGCAATGAAGAATAACTGTCGCGTTGGAGTTGCATCGCGGTGTGTGGGTGAGTGAAAGGCGTTTGGTGAGGCGCGCACCAGTCACCGCGCGCGCCAAGAGACTAGCCTGCCCAGGCTTAGCCCGCCCACAGGTCTCTTCCGGAGTTGCAATATTGAATTCGCGACCGACGACAACCCCACGACTAACACACAGGTATCACGCCAACACCGCCAACATGCGTACCTACGACGATTCCTTCAGCGGTCAAAAGATCTACCCGGGCAAGGTGCGTTACATTGCCCCTCCACGTCTCGCCGCTCGCCCCTCAGACGTCGAAATCCGGCCATCGCGACGGCGACAACGCGAACACGTGGCGGACGAGGATGGAACACTACAATGGGTCGGACATTCGCTGATGGCACAAACAGGGCAAGCTCTACATCCGTGGTGACAGCAAGATCTTCCGCTTCCAGAACGGAAAGACCGAGTCCCTTTTCCTCCAGCGCAAGAACCCTCGCAAGATTCACTGGACCACTCTCTACCGAAGGGCGCACAAGAAGGGTATCTCTGAGGTTAGTCGCCGCGAACCCATATGCACGCCGCTGGGACATGTTTGAGAGACAGCGAACTATGACATCAGTCTGTACTGCGGACAGAGTTGGGCATGGCAAACATCCTCAGCGGCCATGTTGCTCTCATCGCAACATGCATCTCTACTCCCCCATCGCGGACTGCGCTAACCACCATCTCTCCAACAGGAAGTCGCCAAGAAGCGTACCCGCCGCACAGTCAAGCACCAGCGTGCCATCGTCGGTGCTTCGCTCGACGTGATCAAGGAGCGCCGCAGCCAACGTCCCGAGGCCCGTACCGCCGCCCGCACCGCTGCCATCAAGGAGGGCAAGGAGAAGAAGGCCGCCGCCGAGTCAGCGAAGAAGGCTGAGAAGGCCAAGAACGCCGCCGCGTCCGCACGAGGCAACGCCGCCAAGGTCAGCAAGCAGGGTGCCAAGGGTGCCGCACCAAAGGTGCAGGCAAGGACTCGTTAAGCTGGGTTCGATATGGCGTGCATAGTCTGGGTTATGGCTGGTTTTTCGGGATGACTCGGTGTTCCTTTACTCTCTGAATCTCTCTTCCGAACAAACACACTACGGAAAATGGAATGAATGGAATGGCATCATGGCTTCTTCACCTCTTTTTGGATCGGTGTGCCGGACACTGTCCACATTAGCGTCTGGCGCCATAGGGCAAATGCAATACCACGTCCTCACGAACACCGGAAGAGCTTGAACTCACATGTGCATGTATAGTACGACAGGATTGTGAGGCGCCACCGCAGCAGCCAGGATGGTATGACATATTATAGGTCCTGCCTGTAAGAAGTAGTCCAGACAACGGCGGCATATGCAGGCATCCTGGCGAGTTGACCAGCATGTACAGAGCTGAACCAGATGATTGCACTACTGCGACTGATGCCATGATGCTCTTTATCGTGTGCCACCTCGGACATCTCAAGAACTTCAATTGTCTGGGACATCACAAAAGACACCTATCATCCATACGCTTAATGTCGATGTATGTACTGTCATATCATCTACGTAACACACTCACATGCGCAGCACCACCGTGATGTACATCAGTACAAGCAGAGAGGTGGCAGTATAAATGTCTTCTCCTACCTTATCATACGACTACCATTGACTTGACAGACGTCTACAACAGGTTTTCGTGTCCTCCGCTGCTATCCTGAGTACGGATCTTCCGCATACGACGGCCTAACAAGTGCTCGGATGTCAAAGGCACAGTGCTTGAGTACCTTCTGGGTGCCGCTCATGGTGGTCATATATCTATCAAGAGTGCCATGTAAACACCTTCACGTGCACGGAATTATGATAGTAAGCGCAGAAGCGACTATTATTATTACGTATTGACGTTATCTTCGGCGCCGGGAGGGGGTATACGT